AGGGGGGTAGGGGGGTAGGAAAGCGAAGCTGAAGCAGGAAACGAACCGCGTTGCGGAAAGCGAAAGTGTAGGTGTGACGTACCACCATGTTTGGAGTAGGAGAGCCAGGCCGAGAAGGAGGGTCCGCATTTCAGTGGCCCCGCATCCCGAAGGGCCGATCGGTCCCCGGAATCCCGTAAATCGCCCGTCGTCGCTATCCCACTGTCCCCGACCGGAACGCCGGCCCGCACAGCACAGACTGGCCCGGGCCCGGACCGGCCCCCCCGACCGCTAACCTTGCCGCCGCCCCCCGCCACGGCCGGCCGCCCTGCGCCAAGCCAACGCTGCCGGCCACCGGCTAGCCGCCACCGCTACTGCCACCGCTACTGCCGGGCTAAGGAAAAACGCCGTATGAACTTTCCAGAGTTGCCAAATTTCCTTCAATAAAATGTTTTGTTTCGAAGAAAGTTTTGAATAAGTTTTCTCAAAATTTTCAGGAACTTTAGGTGGAATTGCAAACAATATTATCTGAAAAATTGGAGGAAAAATAGCTATATATTTACCAGGAAATTCGTGTTTTAGTAGTGGAAATTTGGCAACGCCCGAAGGTTCATACGGTGTGCTTTCTTAGCACAGCAGACTACTACTCTGCCGTGCTAAGGAAAAACGCCGTGTGAACCTTCAGGCGTTGCTGAATTGCCTTCGGTAAATCACGAATTTCCGGGAAAATTCGTGAATATTTTTCTTCCAATTTTTTAGATAATTTTGTTCGCAATTTTACCTAAAGTTCCTGAACATTTCAAGGGAAAATATCGATAGCTTTCCTTAAAAATAAACATTTTGTCAAAGAAAATTTTACAACCCTCGAATGTTCATACGGCGTTCCTCCACAGCACGGCAGGCTACTACTGGGCATCGCTAATTTTTGCCCAGCCAGCCCATAGTGGATCCAGTCAATGAGAGAAGTCGTGACTTTGTTAATGAAACTGCTAATTTTGACGTGAATTTCGTCAAATATCCTATTTAGAGGGATGCGTAGTGGAGAAGATTTTACGAGAAAACTATTGAAACCATTTTCAAAACCTTGCAGTCCAATTCAATAGCATGATTTCAGAATCCAGTCATCCAGATACCTGTTTTCGCGGGACTTTTCTCGAATATGTAATTTGACTGCACTTTGTGGTCTAAGAACCCACTCTTTCTGGCTCACCCATAAAAACAACCTATCTGCATAGAAAAACTGACGGCACAAATGTTGCTTCCAAATCGAGACAAGAAAAGTGGTTCCTCACCATAAAATGTAGTCCAATTGAGCGATCGGAGAGTCCGCTACGGAGCCGGAGTCTGCGAGGATGAGGGGGAACCGAGACAACGAAAAACAGGGAGAGGGGGCGGGAGGGGGCGGATAGGGGGGGAGAGGAAATATACGAGCCCATGAATGAATTAGCGTGATCGTTAACGGCTCTTTATTGATGTTTATTGCACGAATTGAACTCCGATTAGCGGGTCGCACAAATCGCGCCGCGCCAACCCGGCCGTTTTACGGGCTTTTAATTGTCCCACGCTCCCGGGTGGGACGGGGGCGGAGGAGCCCCCCCCCCTCTCTCTCTCTCTCCCCTGCTTCATTCAGCGCTGCGACAAAAAGTGCGCTCGTTTGGGACCCGTTCATACTGTGCTGGAGAGAAACCTCGTATCAGCTAGAGTCCCTTTATAGAGAGAGTAAAGACAACGCGGCTCATGGATGTCACAAACGGGAATAAAGATTACACAAATTGAACGTTTGTCGTGATCTTTGATCGACTCATTCCCGAATTCCTGTCTCTGTTCCTTTTCTCATCCCGTTTGTTCGTTGCCGTGTCCCCAATTAGTCATAATCTTTGCAATCGGTGAAAATGTAGTCTTTATTCCCGTTGGTGACACTGTAGAGGCCTAAAGTACGGGAATCGATCAGAAATGGATTCGTACTGTCTTAAACTGTCTTTATTTTCAGTGTGAAGGAACTCCAGTATGAGGAAAAGAACTGTATTTAAGTTAAGGTGATCTTACTAATCCAGGAAGTGTTTTAAGTGGAGACGAAATGTAGCCCGATTACAGGAGGGTAGAGCAGAACATAATATAAATTTCACGAAGGGGGAAATTTTCGAAGAACATAATCCTGATTAATCGCTCGGAAGTCGGAGCACAAAAGATGACCATTCGTCTTCCGACAAAATGAAATGTGACAGGGAATTTGTAATTCCTCAAACCTAAGTACACGTATATGATTACGTAAGTGCAATGGCAAAACTACAGCACAATAAAGTCTGGAGAATATGATGAGGGTCAAAATTAATTTTCCCGAAGGAAGGAAAACAGCAACAAAATCTAAACAAAGTCTGTCTCATCAAAGTACATTATAAGAAACTCTACGAATCATACTGAGATACCTGATTGTTTTGTAATTTCGAGGGCTGGCAAAATTGTACTACATTAAAGTACATTGCATTCGTTGAAAAATTGACGATGTCGCAAAGAAATCAGCAATGGTTTGCTTCATTGGCACAATAGCCAACACTGGAATTAAGTTAAGGGACACAATCAAAGCTTCAGTTAGTGTCGAATGCAACGGATACTAAACGAATTTCATTATAACGCCTGAATGCAACTATTCGAACTCCATGGATGTCCGTGTTGCATACGCACGGAAATGAAGGCGTTTTAACTTCAGACACCAATCGCCTCATCAGCGGCGCTCAGTGGAGCGAGTTAATGAGAGGACTCGGACAATATGTGGAAACATTAAAGGCTCATATTGATATGAATAAGCGATTTTAGAAGTGATTTTATTGATTTTCTCGTAAAATTCCCTTCTAATCGCACCCGATTCAATTTAATTCATTTTTAATTCATAATGTGCAGAAAATAATATAAAATTTCGCAGTTTTAGTTCAAAATTCCATGTCCAACGGTGGTCCATGGTTTTGGTGGTTCTAAAATGCCTCCAATTCTTCGTTTTGCCATGCTGAAAATAAAGCACGTATCTGCACGAGGATTCCACTTAAGTCACAGTGATCTTACCACTCAGGCCAATGAGAGGACTACATTTGAGACATTATTATTTCGGGCTCATTTTAGAAACGATGCGCGTGACATTAGTTTATCTATGCAGATAGGTGATTTTCCAAATAAGGCAGATACAATGATCGCTATAATTGCAAAATGCCGTCAAATTATGAGTACTGTGTAAAGATATATCTTCCCTGTAGTTTGACATCACCTGTTCCATATGGTCTACCTAAAAAGGAACTATTTGCATAGGATTCCTTTTGATTTGATGCATGTGCTCATAGTTTCATTCAGCATAAATCCTTTCATTTAATACATTCGTTTTCCTATTTTTGGGGCTGAACTAATTTAGCGCCCGACTAACACGAACGCTGACAAATACGGAAGGATGAAACTGCGGGCTAGACTTATCGATAGCCAAAGTGCGCAACCACGTATTTCCGTTTACGACATTGCAAACTTCCAGTCATACTTAATTTTTTCTTTGGGAAGCTGGTCAACGTAATTTCTCGAAAAATTTCTTGATTTTTTCTCTGTCTTAGTTAAATATTCTTTACAAATTACAATCTTTAAAGTTGGTTTATTTTTCTTTGAAAAAAGAAAACAGGGACGGACGTCTCGATGCGCCTCAGTGGAGATCAGGGTCGGATTTACCTACTTGCCGCCCATGGGCCGCCTGTATTTTGCCGTCGCCTTCTCATTCGTTTTGAAACATCAATAAAAATCATCAAGTGAACGTGCCGGAGGGGGAGGGGTGCATGAGACGCGTTTACCTGATCGTGTTGGATACATTCCAAAAGTTGCAAAATTTCACGGAACTTGACGCGAAAGTCAAGTTCCGTAAACCTATCTCTGTGTGGACAAGGTCCTCCATTTATGAGAAATGAACCAAAAAAGTATGAAAGACCAAACATGAATGTGGTTTAATAATTTTAACTTCCGCCGCTGCGCCGCGCCGCGCTGATCGCACTGTGTTTAGCGCAATACGTGAGGTATTCCTGCAATCTTGTAGGCGCTATGCGTTTCACGCCAACCGCTCCTGACCGCACTGAGTTTGACGCGATGCGTGAAGTATTCATGCAGTCTTGTAGGCGCTAATATGTGTTACATGCCGACCACCGCGCCGAGGGCTTGTCCTTTTCATCTCAAGTCCTCGTTATCATTCCTCTCTGCGCTGAGCTCCAGGCCAAATTGTGTGTTTAGTTCCTCTCTTAACTCGACTAATTAAAGATGCTGTCTCTTGTATCACCGAAAAACGACAAAATTAGAAACTACTATACTCTCAGGAAAAGAGATTTTGTTTCCTTTTCTTATTGATAATTTTTATCCCTGAATCCGATTTTTTTTAAACCTACATTTAAAAAAATTGCAAAATTTGCCGTCCCCTAAATTTACCACCATGGGTCGCGGCCCATGTGGCCACCCCCTTAATCCGGCCCTGATGGAGATACGTGGTTTCGCAATTTGGCTATCGTTACGCACCCACGACTACATGATAGCTACGAGTAACGCGCGTATTTCGTCGGAGCGGGTATATAGAATTCCCAGTTTGTTCTGGAATGATAATCGATGTCCCTCTTCTAAGAATTCCGTTGTAAATCGTCCTATTCCTTGCTCTTCTTATTCTCCTTCCGTCATATCTCCGTCTTTTAGTCCTCATCGATTAAATCTTATAATTGGGGCGTTGCTCATCGCTTCGCGGAAAGAGAACCCTCTGCTTTTGCCAGAATGAAGCTTAAAACGCCGCATTCGAATTAAACAGAGATAAAAGGAAGCAAGTACTCGAATACGTGATCAAAAACACCCAACTGTTTGGTAATTGCTATGGCCGATACGTTTTTTGCTGAAAAAAGTCAAACGTGTCGGTTTCTTTTCCACCAAACTCGTTCCAATTAACTTCGGCTATGATGAGAATGCGGCTGAAGTTCAGCACGATTCCCTTTACAGCTCACAGCCGGATTATTTTGACGTTATCAAGCGAAACCTACCCGCGATGAGCGATTTAAGAAAGCGCGTATCTGCTGAAGCGCTTCAAGGGGACTCACGTCTTTTTTCGAATCTCCGAAAGAAACATGCATTATCTATGCTTACTGGTCTTTATTTTAACTCAGTGTATTCTGATTCATCGCAGTAAATTAAGGAGCTTAACTTGGAGTTCCAAAATATTTGGAATCATCACGATGAATCATTCGAAATTTCCCATTA